AATGTTTTGGATTGAATTCCAGTGATAATTCAGTTTGTTCAAGTCATGGTCAATGTATTAATGCTGACACTTGTCAATGTAATACTGGATGGTTTGGAAGTAACTGCTCAATTCACTCCTGCAATGGAACTAGTTCACAAGATTTAAAACACGTCTGCAATGGAAATGGAGTATGTATTCAAATGGACAAGTGTGATTGTAATAATGGATGGTTTGGATCTGATTGTTCAATTCATTCTTGTAATGGAACCAGTTCACAAGATTTACACAGTGTTTGTAATAATGGTAATGGTCAGTGCATTGGAACAGAGTTGTGTTTGTGTAACCAAAATTGGGCTGGTCAGTTCTGTACTATTCCTAAATGTTTTGGCGTTATTTCTACAGACGCTACAGTTTGCTCTACTCATGGTAATTGTACTGATATTAATACTTGTCAATGTAATACAGGTTGGTTTGGAACTGATTGTTCAATTCACTCCTGCAATGGAACTAGTTCACAAGATTTAAAACACGTCTGCAATGAGGAAATGGAGTATGTGTTCAAATGGACAAGTGTGATTGTAATAAGGGATGGTTTGGATCTGATTGTTCAATTCATTCTTGTAATGGAACCAGTTCACAAGATGAGCAAAATGTTTGTAATGGAGGAAGAGGTCAATGTATTGGCACTGATATTTGCTCATGTAATGAAACATGGACAGGTCAATTCTGTGAAATTCCAAAATGTTTTGGATTGAATTCCAGTGATAATTCAGTTTGTTCCAGTCATGGTCAATGTATTAATGCTGACACTTGTCATTGTAATAAGGGATGGTTTGGTAGTAACTGCTCAATTCATTCGTGTAATGGAACTAGTTCACAAGATGTGCAAAACGTTTGTAATGGAGGAAATGGTCAGTGCATTGGAACAGATTTGTGTTTGTGTAACCAAAATTGGGCTGGTCAGTTCTGTACTATTCCTAAATGTTATGGCGTTATTTCTACAGACGCTACAGTTTGCTCTACTCATGGTAACTGTACTGATATTAATACTTGCCAATGTAATACAGGTTGGTTTGGTCCATTATGTAGTATTCACTCCTGCAATGGAACTAGTTCACAAGATTTAAAACACGTCTGCAATGGTGGTAATGGAGTATGCATTCAAATGGATAAGTGTGATTGTAAATCTGGTTGGACAGGCCAGTTCTGTGAAATTCCAACATGTTTCGGATTAGCTTCAACTGCTAAAAAAGTGTGTGCTGGTCATGGAGATTGCATGAGCTCTGATAAATGCTCTTGTAATAATGGATGGTTTGGATCTGATTGTTCAATTCATTCTTGTAATGGAACTAGTTCACAAGATGAGCAAAATGTTTGTAATGGAGGAAGAGGTCAATGTATTGGCACTGATATTTGCTCATGTAATGAAACATGGACAGGTCAATTCTGTGAAATTCCTAAATGTTTTGGATTGAATTCAAGTGATAATTCAGTTTGTTCCAGTCATGGTCAATGTATTAATGCTAACACTTGTCATTGTAATAAGGGATGGTTTGGTAGTAACTGCTCAATTCATTCATGTAATGGAACAAGTTCACAAGATGTACAAAACGTTTGTAATGGAGGAAATGGTGAGTGCATTGGAATAGAGTTGTGTTTGTGTGACCAAAATTGG